GTCCTTCCACCTCCCCCAAGGGGCCCGAATCAAACCGGCAATATTTTTCAGACCCCGAGTCCACGATGCGCCTTTCCACAGCGGGTGGCCGTAGTCACCGAGGGCGCCAGCGTATTCGGCAATGGCGCGACGACCGAGCTCGCCAGATAAAACTTCCAGGTTATATTTGCAAGCCTCCCTCATCATCGGCAACAGATCCTCTATCGCAGACGTGGTTACGATATGGCCGTCGCCAGGGATTGCACTAGCAGCTCGCGTGAATGCAGTGGTGAGCCCCTCGCCCTTGAAGACGTAGTTCAAATAAGATTGCAATGGAGATTGGATCACCAATGTTTTCAGATTCTGCCAGCCGAAGGGGTTCTGCTCCATATGCTTGATCACGAGGCCTGCCTTCACCACCTGCTTGGAACCAGACTGCACAGATTCGCCTCTCGCAGCAGCATCGGACAATTCTTTCTCAGCTGATTCAACGGCCTTGCGATCGTAAGCACGCTTGAATGCTCTAAAGAGAATGTTATGCTGAGCCTGCCCTCGGTAACACCACGCATTCGCCTTCTCCATGTGTTTCCAACGGTACTCCAGTGCAAGAGGGCATGACGGACCACATGACAAATGAAATACAGCCTTCATTTTGAGCAAAGCTCCGTGAGCCGACCGCCCACAACCGCAAGACGGCAAACACCAATGAATTATCTCGAGATCTTGGCCGTACCATTGGCCGTTGTCATACAAAAGGATTTGTTCTCGTTGTTCTTCCGTCAAGTCGTGGCCTGTTAATTTCAAGACATTGCTGGCATAAGATCGCCACTCATCGAATCCAGGTGGTGGCACCAACACTCGCTTGTATCTGAACCACGTCTCCAGCTCGACGTCCACAGCTGATGCATGCCGAGCGGCCGACCTCCAGGACTGACACAAATGCCCGCACCGAACGACGAACGAAGACAAACCCTCAAAGCTGCGTAAGATCGGCTTTAAGCATAGCACACAACTGTGCCCCGAACAATTTGTAGAGAAAACGGTTGGCACGAAGTCCTCATCGGCCTGACCGCGACGCGATTCTCGCTGATGTCTGAGGGCCATCTCAACCTTGGCAACTAAATTACTGTTGAGCGCGAGGCAATCGCGCACCATCGCGAGGCTCTTCCAACAAGGTATTCCAAATACACCCTTGAGAACTGACGACGGGTCGACGCTATCTCCAGGATCCCCACCATTGCAGATCGACCATCTCTTCCATCGTTCCAGTACTGTGGCATAGTTTGCCATCGGCATGGGCTGAGCGGGTGAAAGAACCGTGGTGCCAGCTATGCCATTCCGCTCAACGTCGAAAATTTTGAAGACCGTCTCGGCCAGATTGAGCACAAGTGCATGGACCATCCCACCCTTCCGACGTCTTTTCTCAAGTCGTTTAGCCACAGCTGGAGTACATGAGCGACTGATCTCGTTCAGCAGCGCATCCGAAGGTTTAACCGACATCCACATCGAGGCGTCATCGAACACGTTCACAAAATGCAGATACTTACAATAACGATTCGCATCATCACTGGCCCACCGTCGCAGACCTTTTGCCTGTTCCTCTGCATGCGAAGTAAGAAGCTTGATCAGATCCGATTGCGTAGAGTTCCGCCTGTTCACAGTGATCGGAACGGCTCCTTCTGGCGTGGAAACGACAACTGTGTTTTTTTTTTTTGGCGCTCCATGGGCTCGTAAGCCCCGCTCAACAATTCTGAAACCATACGTTCTCCATCCGTGACGAGACCACGGGCAACAGAGGCAACTGCAGCATCAGCTCGCCGTGTCTGGTGCGCAACTCTCATCTTAGATTTCGTCGCATCCGAAGTGACAAACCCTCGCTCCCTGCCTTTGCCACGGCCTCGGCCTCTGCCACCGTCTGCATCGAGGCCGCGCCCTGGAACAACGCCTCGGCCGCGTCCTCGACCGACAATAGGGGCAGGAGGAGGCGGAGGATGTGCAACAGGCGCCACGTGCGGGACGTGGCCATCCACGATGTCCACGAACATGCACAAGCATAGCACAAGCTTCATTGGAAACGATCCTTGGAGAGGAAGCCGAAAACAAACGTTTCGAGCCAAAATGTTTACGGAGCGTGATCGTAATGGGGCACACGGCAATGGCATCGTTTGGGTTCCACCCGCCTTGAGATTTACTCGTGCATATCAGAAACTTGCTCTACGCTATTCACAGTGGCGCATGTTTGTTGGCATTGTTTCGGGAGGGGGGGCAACGCGGACAATGATTCCTGGTTCGGTACCCCCTTGAGTCTTGCACTGCGCATGCGGGGGGTGGCATTCGAGCCTGATCGAAAGTAACTCTTCCTCATAATCCTCAGCTTTGTTCCTGCTTCTCGTGCGCTTTCCCTTGTTACCCTCCTCTCCAAGAACCCCCTATCAAAATGTACGTCTGCGTCCAGACCCAATAGGTGAGAGTGCCCAACGAGAGGAGGGGAGGGAATGCTCAAGAATACTTTGGTAATGGAGCCGATGAGGAAGGGGCATGGAGAGACGACAGTGATAAGGCCAACTCCAGCACGACCCCCCCGCCTCTAGTCGCAGCGCAAGGGAAAGGAATAAAATTTGGCGAGAGCGTAGATGGTGCAGGAAGGAAGGAATAATGATGAGTAAGGGAGGAGGAAGGAGGAGGAATTTCAAGAGGAATGCACGGATATGCCATTCGGAATATGTGTAGAATGAGGAAGAGAACATCATTTCAGGCAGTGGGCGAAGAAAACAAAAGCACCAGGAACCCCAAGGAGGGGGGAGGGAGGGTCTTTCGTTTGTTGTGCAGAGGCAATGAGCAATGCATTGCGGGACGCCGCAACGCGATTCGGCGCTCCCCGCTGCCGAACCCAAGGCCTCAATGGGGCCTACTGCCTCATCTGAGGCAATGCAAGCCGCAACATTCAAGATGAGCATAACGCCGACGTGACCAATATCTATACCCTCGCTTGTGCTGGGACATCATCACCGCAAGATGTTCTACTACGTCCCCAACAAAGAGCACAGTCGTTGCTGACGCAAGCCGCCTGATTTAAGATTAGCCCACACGGGCTTATTCTACCACCTGAACACCATTACACATTGTTTTCAACACGTGGATTTATCAAACGCGTTTCCTTGCAGATCTAACACCGACATGTTGTTTTCCAGCGCGCCATCAATCGTGAGACGCGAAGGGACCCAAGCAAGGTCGGGCACCCCTGTTTGCTCCGCAACATGAAAAAAAGCGAGTGCCGCACGCCTGGGTAGGTGCCCCTGGACGAGGCGAGGCGGGGGGGGAGGAGGAGGAGGAGGCGGAGGAGGGGGGGGAGGAGGAGGAGGAAGAGGAGGAGGAGGAGGAGGAGAGGAGGAGGAGGAGGAGGAAAAGGAGGAGGAGGAGGAGGAGAAGGGGGAGGAGCATGAGCAGGAGGAAGAGGATGAGGAGGAGGAGATGATGCGGAGATGGGGAGAAGGGTGAGGAGTGTGAGGAGGGGGGGAGGAAACTGGAACGGGCAGGAAAGCCACCATTGTCTTAACATCTTAACTCGCCATCCTCCGACCTCGTTCACTCGGAGCGGGCGCATGGCAGGGATACCAGAAAGAGGCTGAAAGAATCAGCTCGAGCAAACTGTTTCTTTGGCGCCTCCCGGCACCGCAGGCGCCAGTGTATCGGGAAACGCGCCTGGCGGCGGGGAACGAACCAACTGCACGCGGAACGTCTCGTGCCCCCCCCCCCTTTCACCCCCCCTCTTCGTCCGACCCAGTCCCTGCTCCTGCTCCAATTTCTCTCCAGCGGCCACGGACAGCTTCTGGCGAGGCGCAGCTGCCGGAGAGCACCCTGGAGCTGGAAAACCGCCGCCGAGATCCGACGAGCACGTCCGACAACCTCGGACCTCGAAGGGCGGGTGGTTTAGCGGCGCGCGTAAGGGAGGTAGGGGGAGGGGGGAAGGCTTCTTAGAAGGGGGCTGCTTCTTAGAAGGCGCTGGCCTCACATGTATAGAGAAGGCCCGCGCCTTCCAAGAAGCAGGGGTGCTTCTAAGAAGCCTTCCCCCCTCCCTCTACCCCCCTTCTGCGCGTGGCCGAGTGGTACTGGGGGGGGGGTGACGGAAGGGGCCCGGAAGGGGCCCTGAAGGGCCCCTTCTGGAACCAGTGAGTGCCCAACAGGGGCCTTCGAGGGCCCAGTTGGGGCCCTTTTTCTTCCCCCCAGTGAGGTCGCCCTCCCCATTACCATCAGGTCGGGCATGTCCCCCTTCGGGCGGATGTTGGGCGAAAAACAACAAATACAAAGAACTATTGGTTACCCGAAGAGCCCCCAAATTCCCCCAAATAGCCCCCGGTGCAAAACAAGAAACATACTCAACAAATCGCCCCCAAACCATTGTTTGACTATGTTTGGATATCCCTCCTGTAGAGGGACATGCCCGACTTAACACTACCACCCGCCCGGTCCAAGCCCCACAGCTCGCCCGACCCAATGCCCCCTCTCGGGGGCGCGCAAACATGGATTAGCGATCCATGGATTTGGCGCCGAATCCATGGACCGGGGGAGGGTGCCCTCCCCAAAGTGCGGCCGGTGCCGCCTCGCTCGGCGGCCGAAATCCGCGAATTCCCACAGAAACGGGACCCGTCGCTACTCCACGCCCCCTTGATCCATGTTTGCGATCGCCTGACCCTCCTGTAGAGGGACATGCCCGACTCAACACTACCACCCGCCCGACCCACGCCCCACAGCTCGTCCGACCCAGTGCCCCCTCCTCCTCCTCCTCCTCCTCCTCCTCCTCCTCCTCCTTCTCCTCCGCCCCTCCTTCTCCTCCTTCTCCTCCGCCCCCTCCGCCCCCCCCTCCTCCTCCGCCCCCTCCGCCCCCTCCTCCTCCTCCTCCTCCTCCTCCTCCTCCTCCTCCTCCTCCTCCTCCTCCTCCTCCTCCTCCTCCGCCCCCTCCTCCTCCTCCGCCCCCTCCTCGGCCGACCCGATCCTCCGCGCCTTCCGCCCCCGCCCCCCGCGCGGCGGGGCGGCGGCGTCGCCATTCAGGCGGACCCGCTCGCCGTGGCTGGAGGCGTAGTAGGCCCCGCTCGGCAGGTCCTCGGGTCGCGGGCTCGCGAGGTCCAGGGGGGGAGGGTCCTCTTCCCTCCTCCTCCCTCCTCCTCCTCCTCCTCCTCCTCCTCCTCCTCCTCCTCCTCTGCTCCTCCTTCCTCGTCCTGCTCCTCCTCCTCCTCCTCCTCCTCCTCCCTCCTCCTCCTTCTCCTCTTCCTCCTCCTCCTCCTCTTTCTCCTCCTCCTCCTGCTCCTCCTCCTCCTCCTCCTTCTCCTCCTCCTCCCCTGTCTCATTCATCGTCCTCATGTTCCATCTCCTGCTCCACATCATCTTCGTCACTCCCTCTTTCCTACCTCCTCCTCCCCTTCCATCCTCCTCTTCCTCATGCACCTCGTCTTCCTCCGCCTCCTCCTTTTCCGCATCCTCATCCGCTGGTTCCTCCTCTTCCTTCTCCGCCCCTTCCGCCTCGTCATCATCGCCATCAATCGCATAGGCATCAATAGATCCGCACTCGTCTATATACTCATCCTCATCGCCATCATAACCATCGTAATCATATTAGCAACACCATCATCACTGTGATCACCACCGTCATTACCACAATTGTGGCCACCACCGCCATCGTCATCGTCATCGTCATCATCACCATTACCATATTAATCATCATCAACATCAGCATTTCCCTCTTCCTCCTCCTGTGCCCTCCTCCTGCTCTTTCCTCTTTGTCTTCCTTTTGTGCTCCACCACCTCCTGCTCCTCCTCTTCCTCCTCCTGCTCCTCCACCTCCGCCTCCTCCTCATCGAACCCTCCTATGTCGTCACTTCCTCCCCACCTACATCCATCCCCCCCATCTCGCCTGCACCCTCGTCCTCCTCCTCCTCCTCATCATCATTCTCCTTGACCTCCTCATCATTATCATCATCATCATCATCATCATCATCATCATCATCATCATCATCATCATCATCAGCATCATCATCATCAGCAGCAGCAGCATCAGCATCACCATCATCATCATCACCATCATCGGCTTCTTCTTCTTCATCATCATCATCAGCATCATCGTCATCAGCATCATCATCACCATCATCATCAACAACAACAACATCAACATCACCATCATCATCATGACGAACATCATCGTCGACATCTTCATAATCAACACCATCATCATCCGTCCCCTCCGTGTCCGCCATCCTCCCCCTGCTCCGCCTGAATTCTTTCCTATTCGTCCTCTAAACCTGAAGGTCTGATTGGAGCCTTTTTCCTTGGGGGCATATAGCCTTGGAACCAACCACCACGCTAATACATTATCCGGTGGCTGACTTTGCTGCTATACCAATGCTACAATCACATTCGCCGATCATGCTCACCCACTTGGAACGCTACAATCTAATACCCGCCCCCTCGGCTGACAAATCGTATGTGGAGTCGTGTGAGGCATAAACAACACAAACCACTGGGAAACGGATGGATTCTAAACAAAGAAGCTGCGCAGTGCAGCCCGGAATGCATTCCACAAAAACAACTTATACATGAAAGTGATCGAGAGCATAACTGGTTCGAACAGAAGGCGACTATATGAATTGCGCGTACATGCGCAGGGGCATCCTAAAACGCGATATGCAATTTCAGAATGTCACAGAGCACCACATCACGCGAAATGATGCGCACCTTCTGCAATTTAGGTATGAATCGCATGGACGAGTACCTGGATCTCATCTGACCCGAGCTGGGGCCAAAGGTGGAGCCTCCTATGGGGTGCAGGAAGCGTGTGAGGGGTGCGCCGACATGGGCGGGGGCACGCCACGTGGTCACCCCTGCTGGGGTCATCATAGGTGGAGCCTCCTATAGGGGTGCAGGAAGCGTGTGAGGGGTGCGCCGACATGGGCGGGGGGATGACGTATGGTCGCCCCTGCTGAGGTCATAGGTGGAGCCTCCTATGGGGTGCAGGAAGCGTGTGAGGGGTGCGCCGACATGGGCGAGGGGATGACGTATGGGCACCTCTGCTGGGGTGATAGGTGGAGCCTCCCATGGGGTGCAGGAAGCGTGTGAGGGGTGCGCCGACATGGGCGGGCGGATGACTTATGGTCACCCCTGCTGCGGCCGTAGGTGGAGCTTTTCTTCGGGAGCGGCCAAAGAGGGGGGCGTCCAAAAGGGCGGGGGTGCAAATCATGGTCGGCGACATGTGCGCGGCCCAGGGGGGGGGGGGGGCGGGGACGTAATGAAATTCGCCGGCCCAACGGGCCAGAGGCGTGCTAAGATCTCCGGTAACTGGTTAACAATTCTCTAGTTCGCGCGCGCGGGGCGGCCCCTGGGGGTCCCCGGACGAAAAGTACCCCGGGCGACTCCCGGCTGATCCCCGGGCGAAGCCACCAGAGCGCTCCATGAGCGCACCAACAGGGCTCCGAGACGTCCCCGAGAGCCCCAAGAAAGGCCAAGAGGCCCCCAAGAGGCCCCCAAGATGGTACACGAGGGGTCCGTCATGCCACAAGATCGCTCCAAGACGCCCAAGATAGCCCCAAGACGCCCCAAGAGGCCTCCAAGACACTCCCAAGAGGGCCCCCGCAGGCAAAATTCACTGCTTTTCCGTAGGTTTTTGAAAGATTTTGGAGCTTCCACCTTTTCGGCTTCCCGACGCCCCAAGACGGCCCAAGAGGCCCCCAAGATTGCCCCGAGAGGGCCCAAGAGGCCCCCAAGAGGGCCCCAAGATGGCCCAAGAGGGCTCGAAGACGGCCCAAGAAGCCTCCAAGACGGTCCAAGAGGGCCCCAAGAACGCCCCCAAAGGGGCCCCAGAGAGGGAACACGAAACAACATTTCGAGCCCTCGGCCCTAAGAAGCCCCCTACGAGGCCCCTAAGAGGCCCCAAGAGGCCCCCACGAGGCCCTCAGGAGGCCCCCAAGAGTCCCCCAAGCGGCCCCAGGAGGCCCCCCAAATGCCCCCCCGAGCGCCCCAGGAGTCCCCCAAGCGACCCCAGGAACCCACAAAGCGCCGCATTGACACCAGGCCCTCGGGCAAACGGCAGACATGAGACTGTATGTGCCGGCGGAATGAGCGAAGCGATTAAATAAGAAGAGGCGCCATGAAATCTGGGGACATAGCATGCCCCACGCCATGATCTCCCCCCTCCTAGCCATCACCCCCCTCTTTGCCGCCCCCAATTTCTATGAGGCAGGAAACGTGCGAGGGTCGCGCCGGACTGGGCGGAGGAACGCCATGCGGTGAACCCTGCTGGGGCCGTAGTTGGAGCTCCCGACTGGGGCAGAAACCGCACGCGGGGTTCGGCGCCGAAAAGAGTGCAGCAACAGCAGCAGGAGCAGCAGCAATGGAGGGAGGGAAAAGGAGAATAGGGAGAAAGACCAGGGATGAGGAGGAGGAGGAGGAGGAGCAAGAGGTGGGGGGGAGGGGGCAGAGGGAGGAGGAGGGAGGGAGGGAGAAGGGAGGAAGGAAGGAGGAGACGCGCGGCGCTGCGGATTCAAGAGGACCCAACTTACTGGATGGTCGGGGACACGAACATCCACAGCGTGTCTCAAGAACAACTAAGGCCCCGCCAGGCAGAGGCCACAAGGAAAGAGAGAGAGAGAGAGAACGAAAAACAATACATCAAACAAACAAACGAATAAGCTACACAAGCACCCTCCGGAAACAACAAAAAAAAACGGCCAGCGCACCGACTTAGACAACGCACCCGAGGAAAACAACCAACAGGACAGGGCTGTTTAGTGCATCCCCAGGGCCGTTTAGTAAACGCCAATTCTGGGGGTTGGGGTGGTTACTGCTCCCCTTGAGGGAGGGGGAGAGACAAAGAGAGAGAGAGAGAGAGAGAAAGAGAGATAGAGGAACAAATGAGGAGAGAGGGAGAGAGAGAGAGAGAGAGAGAGCGAAAAAAAGAAAGAAAGAAAAGCAAACAACAGAGAAGAACGAGAGAGACAGAGAGGAGCGAGAGAGAGAGAGAGCGAAAAAAAGAAAAGAGAGAAACAGTGAGAGAGAGGAGAGAGGAGAGAGAGAGAGAGAGAGAGAACAAGAGGGAGGGAGAGATGCAGACGCAAAGACTTGGAGGCGCTGGGCGCGCGGCGCGCCTTTGGCACGCGCAGCAGGTGCCGCGGGGCCTGCGGGAGGGGAGGGGAGCTCTCGCTGCGAGGCGGGGGTGAACATGCAAGCATCCACCCGGGTAGCCCAAAAGGGGGTCCAGCTGAAAGGGGGTGGTGCAATAGGTTTTGGGCAATTGTATCGCAAATGTATTGCGCCAGAGAATTGGATTGCATTGTACTGCAAGTAATGCACTGCGCGCGAAAATCCAGTAATACATCTGGGCCCCGGAATGTATCGCACGCCCCAAATCTACTGCAACCCCACAAACCTATTGCACCACATCTATTGCACCACCCCCTTGTCGCTGGACCCCCTTTTGGGTCAACCCGAATCCACTGCCTTAGGAACGGATACCCCAGAGGACACCTGGCGGCGGGGGATGCGGATGCCTTCGGGCCCCCGAAGGTCCGAAACTGGCCATCTCCGATGCCTCCACGGGTCGTCCTGGGGCTCGTCTGCCGAGGTGGTGGTGGATATACATCTCGGACTCGCCCGAGCTCAAGGAGGAGCGGCTTCGGGTTTCGAGGGGTGCATCCCCAACTGGGGGGGCCAATTTGGTAGGGGTCTCGAACGGGATGAGGATGGGGATGGTGATTGGTTGCACGACACTGACAGTTGCATTCATCGTATATAGAACAAGATTGGTTCGGATTTGATTGTGGAGGGGGCTCTACGGAGGAGTCCTCACAAGTGGGCACGCAAAATCCATCTGGTCAATATTTGACCTCACTCGTCATCCCGCTCTTCCGCATCAACTCGAAATTCCACAAATCACCCATCGAGTCCCAGCCGAGCCGTAAACTGCCAGGCTTAGTTTTGGATCCTGCCAGCATTTTCCTCAACGCGGGCATTCTCCCCATTCGAAAGCAATATGATACAGTAGCTATGTCTACACTGGACATCATGACAAACTATGAAAGCGACGTTTTCGGCGACGACGAAACTTTCATGACGTTGGACGCACCTTCCTTGTAACCGAACCTAAGCCTCTTCGACAAAACCGATGGCGTTCTCAGCGTGCTCGTCCCAGTAACCAAAACGTGCTAAAATGAGAGAGGCCGGGGAGATTTGGGCAAATTACCATGTGAACTTTTGAATTTAATCCTGCATGACCCAGTGGTTCAAGCCGCCTTGTTTGCAGGATTTCCAAGCACGCGGATGGCCTCACGACTTGGCTGAGTAGTGCAAGTACTATTGCTGACATCTACCTCGCCGAACGCTTTGATCGATACCTGCAAGGACGGCTAAACATCCGCACATACAAGAGATGCATCGACGATGGGTCTAGTACCATCAAGATTGCACAGGCAACTGAAATGTTAGAATAATATTCGACACTTTGAATAATTGACGGCCCTGGATCCGAGTAACATGATCAGATATTTCATTGGATGCAACGATACATTTTCTCGAAGTCAATGTGCACGCTGGGCCAACCATACTATGTATCTACATGTCGTAAGGATTTGAACATATACGACTACATCCCCCCGTGTTCCGCACACCACCTTTCCATCTTCACCGGGCTTGTCAAAGGCGAGTTGCACCGACTGGCGTTGACAAACACGAAGGAGGACGATTTCAACAAACAGGTTATGTTTTGCATCAAAAAACTGAGAGCACGAGGCTACAACAAGAGGCGAGTAGGCCAGATAATGAATAGCTTCGAATTCAACCAACGGCGGAATACGATCGCCAACATGTCCAGTAGGGGCAGCATTAGACGTAGGAGTCAACGTTCTCTTGTGCACGATTAGGGTGTCACCTTCACCTACGCCCTGGACTTGGAGAGAGTCCGTCCTCCCACGACTTTCCGAAAAGCGGCCCAGATCTCGTCTGACACGTTGGGGAGGCCAGTGAGGGTCCGCCCACGGTTCGGAGCAGGCAGGAATATGTTCAAGCTTCTGTATATGCACACGTGGCGGGTTTTGTTTGGCAGCCGGTGGTCGTAAAACAACGGGGGCGCATGCTGTCCGCCCCCATAAGCTTAAGAGCTACCTGCAGGCACCAAACGCGGGTCGCATTCGAGAACAGCTTTATTCCTCACTTGCAGCAGCACCGTTGAGGGAATCCCGTGGTGACTGCGACGTTGCTTCGAGCATCGTGCGAAGATCAGTCTGAATCAGCTGTGCACGCACCTGCAATACACAGCGTGGCACAGGGGGCAGAGACGTTGTTTGCGGCAAGGCTTCCCAAACTCCGCAGTCGTGTTTAGCCTCAGAGGCCCTGGTGAGGGGCCGTGCTAGCAGCACGCACTTACTGCACACGCGTGGAGTCCAGGCAGAAATCATTCACTGTTCCCCTATCCCCGGCGCTTAAGGAGCACGCCGGAGATGCTGCAGGGTGTGGCGCGGGGAGAGGGGGCGCAAGGCACCGAACCCTGCGAGACCGGCACGGACGCCTCCGAGATGGTGCAGCGACCTGAAGGACGAGCCTGACTACCTACCAGACCACTCCAACCTAACCCGAAGACCCGAATTTGACCCGAATTTTGGGTTGGGGGGGTATGGGTTCCATATGTGATTTTTGAGTGTTCCCCGACCCCCCCCCACTGGAAATGGAGGGCAAATTGAGGCCTTCGGGTTGGGTTGAGGTGGTTTGGTGGGTTGTGAGATCCTGGACCACCGCCTCGCCCGTTGACGCTCCTAGACCACAGCCTCCGATCCAGAACAGTCCTGGACCACAAGCCACCGTGCTGCAGCCTCGTCCGTTTACGGGCAGAGCCGTGTGGTTGGACCGCGCCTCTGCCTGTCTGTCGTGGCCCACGCGCAAAGGTGAGCGAGGCGCAGGGCGGGTGAACAGAACGGAGGATATGGGGAACCCGTGGGGCCTTCGGTGGAGCTCCCCAGGGGCAATGAAACGTAGGAGGGCGAGAGGCGAGAGGGGTGACGCATGCGGGCGATGCCGCTGCGGCCATCGGTGGAGCTCCCTAGTGCGCAAATATGGGGGACCGCATTCGGCCGCTGCCACGGGGGCCTTCTGTTGAGCTCCCGATGGGGCAACGAAACGTGTGAGGGTGTGAAACTGGGAAGGGTGCTGCATGCCGTCGCTGCCACTGGGGCATTCCGTGGAGCTCCCCATGGGGCAGCGAAACGTTTGACGGGTATGCGAAAGTGGGGAGACACCGCATCCGGCCGCAGCAACTGGAGCTTTCTGTGGAATTGACAGTGGGGCCTCGAAACGTGTGAGTGGTGTGCCGAAATGGGCGTGGGCACGCATGCAAACTTTTCCACTGGGGCCTTCAGTGCAACTCCCCGTGGGGCAACGAAACGTGTGAGGGTGCGCGAAGCTGGGAGGGGTGCCGCATGCAGGCGCTGCCACTGGAGCCTTCGGTGTAGCTCTCTGTGGGGCCACGGAACGTGCGGAGGGTGTGCGAACGTGAGGGGGTGGGATACCGCATGCGAAAGTTACCACTGGGGCCATCGGTGGAGCTCCCAACGGGGCCACGAAACGCGTGAGGGGTGTGCGAACGTGAGGGGAGGGGGTACCAAATACCCTTCGATGGAGCTGTCCATAGGGCCAGGAAAAGTGTTAGGAGTGAGGACATGCGGCGGAGGGCAGAGGCAGGGATGGGAGGATTAGCAGGGAAGGGGAGGAAGGAGACGCGGGGCGCTGCGGCTTCAAAGCGAGGACCCAGCACCAAAAATGGAATCCCAGACACACCCCTGGAGAGACAGGACAACCCATGAGATAAAGACGATATGCGTCCCAGCATGCGATTGCACCCTGCGCTCAGGCGAGAGTGCCATTCCCAGTCGAGGGTGTGGCCAGCGCTCGAGCGACAGCACCATACTCAGTCAAGCATGCGGCAGGCGCCGAGTCGAGAACATCATTCCCAATCAGGCACCTGGCCGGCGCTCAGGCGACAGCACCACCCCCAATCAGGGATGCTGCCAGCGCTCGGCGCGGCAGCACCCATGCCCAGTCAGGCACGTGGCCAGCGCAGAAGCGACAGCACCACTGTCGATCAGGAGTGCGACTGGCGCTCCCAACGGCAGCAGATTTCCTCAACAGCGCTGCGCGGCGGCATCAATCCCGATCAAAAAACTGACCAACGCTCGGGAGAGAGCACCATTCCGAGACACTAGGGCAGCTGGAATGTGATTGTAGACCGTGCCAAACGTCTCCTCTTATTGCTTGTGTTTATAATCATCGCCTTCCGCTCTGCCGCGCTTCCAGACCCACCCCCGCAGCTTCACCATTCCCGCTCCTCCTCTATGTGCCTTCTTCTCCGCCTCCTCTTCCGCCTGCTTGTCCTCCTTATCCTCCCTATCGTCCTCATCCTCCGTCACCCCCCTTCCACCTCCTTCTCGGCCTCCTCGATCGATGGAGCGCCGGATAGGTTCGAACCTCGCACGCGCTAGCTGAAACCTCTATCTCTGTCTCTCTCTTTCTCGCTCTATCGATCTCTCTATTTTCACATCTGGATAAGTAAGCATACTTCTTATATAAGTATTCATAATTTCATTCGTATATATGTGTATATAGGTGTGTATACTTCGATGTATATACACATATGCCGATATATGCAGATACATCTTTATATCCAAAAATTATACCAGTGCGACCATACCTAGTAGTTGGAGCCTCTAGGAAAGCAACACTATGCTATGATATGCTATGCTATGCTATGATATGCTATGCTGCACTGTGCTATGCTAAACTATGTTATGCTATGCTATGCTGCGCTATGATATGCTATGCTATGATTTGCTATGTTGCGCTATGTTATGCTGCGGTATGTTATGGTATGATATGATATGGTATGCTATGTTAATGCTAATGCTAATGCTAATGCTGTGCTGTGCTGCGCTATGCTATGCTATGCTGCGTTATGCTATGCTATGCTGGGCTATGCTATGATATGCTGTGCTGCGCTATGCTATGCTACGCTATGCTATGCTGTGCTATGCTATGCCAAAGCTCAGCGGAGCTAAGATGAAGGTAAGCTAAGCTAAGATAACCCTGAGCTAAGATGAAGCTAAGCTAAACTAAGATGAACTCAGCTAAGCTAAGATGAGATAAGCAACGCTGAGCTAAGGGGACGTAACTGGGGGAACCGCGGGGCGGATGCCGGGGGAACCGCCCGGGGCGGGCCCCACTGCCCGGCCCTTTAAGCCACCGAGTAAGAACCCTTCTAGGCAGAGCCCAGGTAGGGAATATATGCATGCACACAAACATATACGTGTATAAAAAATATACATATGTACATGTATGTCTGCCTGTCTGTCTGTCTGTCTGTCTGTCTATGTAGATGATGTACGTATCTACTAGAACCATCGCGCGCGCTTCGCGCGCGCACAGGTGCTCCAGGATCGCAGCTTGCAGAGAGATGACGAGTGTTGGGCACCGGTTGCGGATACGACGTTTGACCGAAAACGTAACAAGAACACGTAGTAAGCAATCCCTCCCTGAGCACTGATGTCTCCAGGAGGACGACGAAGAGGACTAGGGGGGCGGCTTGGAGGTCGAGAAAGGGGAGAAAGTCCTTGAGCATGACGGCGACGAAGACGATGGCAGAACGGCAAGGAGGGACAGGAGCAGAAGGAGGAGCGGAGCCCCCGAAGACGAACCGCAAGGAGGAGGAGAGAGAGATAAGGGGCCACGGTTGCACCTCCTGGCTCTCCTGGGGGCCTTTGGGGTCTTCTTGGGAGGGTTGCTGGGGTCCTGCGGGCGGTCTGCTGGGTCCTTTCGGGCTCGAGGCGTCAAAATGTAAGGACGGAGAGGAAGGGCCACCGTGCCCCTCGTCTACGTGTGCGCCTCCTGGTTACCGTCTGCCCATCCTGCCACCGTGCTGGAGTTGTGTGTGAGATCCCTTCTGAATGCCTCTTCGGGTCTCTGGGGAAGCCTCTGGGGGACGTCTTGCAGACAGGTTCGAGGCCTCTTGGGCCCTCTGGGGGAGCCCTTGGGTGCCTGCTGGCGATCTTCGGGGTCCTCTTGGGGCGGGGGCCTCGAAATGTGGTTCGACTTCCCCCTCTGGGCCTCTATTGGCCCCTTTTGGGGCCGTCTGGGGCAGTCCTGGGTGCCTCTTGGGCTGTCTTGGGGTCTTGTTGGGCCGTCTTGGGGTCCTGTGGAGGACCTCGTGCAATTTTGGGGCTCTCCTGGGGGCCTCTGTGGCCGGCTTGGACGCTGGCAATCAAAAGCGAATGTGCTAGAAACGCACATATTCCCGACAGGAATGGGACGATGTTTGCCTCTTCGGGCCCTCTTGGGGGTCCTGTTGGAGCTGTCTTGGGGCGTCTTGGGGCCCTCTTGGACCGTCTTGACGCCATACCACGATGGCCCGTCTGGGACCTATTGGGGACCATTCCAGAAGACATGGGGGGTCGGGGAAGCTCTGGGGAGGCCTCGGGGAGGCCCTGGGGGGGGGAAGGGCGCCCTTCGTGTATATGTGTGGCCCCTGGTGGTCTCTTCGGCCTGGGCCCCCCCTGGGGCGGGGTTTCTGGTATATTCTTGGTATACGGTTGTAGATCCATACATGCACACATACATACCTGCTTGCATGCATACCTGCGTACATTCATGCATAGGCACATACATGGAAGTGAACGTACATGCAGGCATGCATACATACATACAAACCTACATAGAAGAGGGTGCAAACATAAGTATATGTATACATTTATATACACAGAAAGGGGAGAGCACGAGGGGTGAAGCAGAAGGACGGAGCGCAAGGAGAGAGGGACAGGGACAGGCAGCTCCAGTGTGAACTGGCCTGCATGCGGCGAACGACTGCGCTCCTCGGGGTGGTGGTCCATGAGGTGTCTCCCACGTGAGTCGGCTCGTACGCGGAATGCCATCGCGAGCATTGGACACTGATGATTTCTGAGCTGACGCCCGTTGTTGAGCAGAGGCCGACCGTCCCGGCATTCCGACAGGCTTACCACGACATGTTCTTAGAACCCCACACATGTTCTTAGAACAAACAGATGTTCTTATAACATAAGCCCTATGTGTTCAAACACGACAGTCCCGGCCAGAACTGTTGTGAGAACATTTCGTGCAGACCACAAAAGGTTCTTAGAACATTCTGTGGTGGGCCTATAGGCGAGCCCAGACGCGTCGCCACTGCTTGACGTTGGTTGCGGTCAGTAAGACGGCACACCGTGGTGATCTTCTGGTGGTCATGGCCTCGAAGGCGGCGGTCCCTGGAGGCGGCGGCCGGTGAAGGGCTTCCCGTGCTAAGGGTTAGGTCGGGCCTGTCCCCGTACAGTGACGGGGCCCTGGGACACACAATTAAATAGGCACAAATAACAGGATTCCCCATAGTTTCCCATATGTTCTGGGTTTTTGTCGTCCCCCCCACTTCATAGATTCTCCCCTCTTTTCTTGTCTGTGTTGGGTCGGGCCTGTCCCCATACAGAGTGATTGTGGACGAATCGGGGATGGACAGACCTCCCGTTAGTAAAACGTGGTTCAGTGAAAACGATCTGAGGCCCACACCTGGCGGGCGCAAGCCTGGAAAATGACGGCCACGGCGCCCTCTCGAAAACCGAAAACAAACAAATTCACTAATCGACGTGTCACTGTTGGGGGTTCTGTCCACCCCCGAACGAAACATAAAAAAGACCCCAAACATACTCCCAAAAGTACTCAAACATGATATTTTAAAAAATCGTCCCCAGACTATTTTTGGGACTATTTTTGAATATGCACTCTGTAGAGGGACAGGCCCGACTTAAGCGAAGAGCTATGTAAACGACGCACGATGCTCCCTGCGGTCGCGGTCCCTGAGCTGGTTCATGCAACGCACCTGTCGCGGCAATTCCGGTGGCGGCTCCACTACGAATCGACTCGCACGCGGCGCACACCTGTGACCCTTATAGCTGCGGTGTCTGAATCAAACACCCGTGCGAGCCGGCTCGCACGCGGCGCACCACGGTGATCTTTGGACGGCTGGTCCACAGTGCTCGCGCGTGGCGCGCCATTCTCACAAATATTGTACGTGGTGGTCCCTAAACTGGCTCCTGGTGCAAGCCGGTCGGGCGACGCCTCAACGTTTTGTGAGAATGGCGGGCCGCGCGCGAGCCCTATGGGATCACCTGCCACACATCGCAAAAAGCCAGAACCGCTTGCAGAATCAAGTCGACCGCACCGAAACCTATCGACGGGGGGGAACCGCCATTGGAGTTGCGTGGTCGGATCGATGGGTGCCACGGGCAGGCGCTGGCGAGCGTCGTCGAATTGATCGAATCGTGGACAGCACGGCGACTCCACGTCCACTCCAACTGCCGTGTCCCACCTCCTCCTTCTCGGGGATCTTCTCTGGAGGCTCCCAGAAGCTAGCTGAAGCCAGCCACCAGAAGCCTCTGGGCTCCCTCCAAAACCTTGGAAACGCTCGGCAAAACCAAAATTGACAAACAACAAACGACCTTCGAACATCGTCCTTGCCCGTTGGTGGCAAGTCATGGGAACCTCCCCATACCTTTCGTTGGTCGAGGGCAATCGACGCGAGTCGACGGTGGTCGACGCTAAGTCAACGCTAGTCGACGCTAGCCGACGCCAGTCGACGCTAAATCGGCGTATCTCATTGGTTGCCAAACACTATTCGGCGCGAGACGACGCTAGAGAATTAGATAAACGGTATAGAAGGCCCCCATAATTCACAACCGAACCCGACTCCCCTCGGGCCACCTGGTCCATCACCTCGGCGTATCTTCTGCTGCACGCGGCCACGTACAAGCAGAGCTGCCGGGGGGGAAACAGGCCAGATCGTCGTTCGTGTCGGAGCCTTGGCCGTAACGATGCGGCGGCGATGGCGTGATGTTGTGCTCATGATGTTGCGGTACGGGAAAATGACGACCAAAAACCAGATATGGGACACCCTGATTTTTTCAACGCGGCCCTTCTCGGGGGGAATCAAAGTGTGGTATAGCAAAGGGTAGTGTAGAGAATCAGCTCACGTAGCTGATTTTCCCAGCGCCTCCCGGCGCCGGGAGGCGCCCATGTATCGAGGACTGGGCCCGGCGCCGGGGCCGAAACCAGCTGCATGCAGCAAATTCCGTACCCCCCCTTTGGTTCGGCCCGACTTTCCCGGGACCGGCTTCTCATCCTGAATCGTTCCCTCACGGCCCCAGGCCCCGCGAGGACCCCCCGAGGCCGAAAGCGCGAACAGCGGTGTCCGTCGTGTGCTTTTCTGCGATGCCGTCGCGCCTTGGAACAATAAAGGGGGGGGAACGACTAACAAAATAGCTTCCGAATCTTCGGTTTCCGCTTCGCTTCGGCTCCGCCTATCCTGTCGACCGTCCAGGCACGCGCGCGACAATGGCGGGGGAAACGATTGAAACAATAGCTTCCCGGCCCGGGGCCGGTTTCTCTAAATCATCATCCCGGCCGCAGCCGCCGCCTGAACGCGGCCCCCTGCGAAAATGAAAATAGTGTCTCATGGAGCCTGAAACGCGAATCCTAATTGACCAAAACGGTGCTATCAGTAGAATAACAAGAACCGGCGTATGCTTGGAGGAACTTCAGCCACTGGGCCGAACTCTCTTTGCTCGTGGTCCCTGGCTCGCGTGTGGAGGTAGCCAAGAGGCGTATTTTTCCATTCGCGGTCATAAAGGGCGTTGCGGGGGGGGAGGGGGGCGGACGGCAGGGGGCATAATGAAGCGCCCCCCCCCCCCCCCCCAAACTGTGGTGCTGGACCACTGCGGCAGTGCCAGGGACGCAATGCAGAAGGGAGCGTTGCGGTTTGAGGGGGGAAGGGGAGAGGGCATAACGCGCGTTATGACCCAAAGGGCTCCTGTCAAATTTTCGAGCTTGCGCCCAGCCGTGACTCCCCCTTGCGCATGCCGCCGGAGGTCATCCGACGCACCACCGCCCCCGCATGCCCATCTAGAAGCGATGCCCAGGATGAGGAGGAGGAGGAGGTCGGGGCATGGACGCCCCGAACAAAGAAAACGAAACGAGAACCGTTTACAGTCGCGGCAGCAGCGGCAGCGGCAGCGGCCGCTGTCGTCGTCGTCGTCGTCGTCGTCGTCGTCGTCGTCGTCGTCGTCGTCGTCGTCGTCGTCCTCCCTGCGGAGGCAGCGGCAGCGGCAGCGATCACGACAGCGCCGGCGCTAGGCTCCCCCCCCCACGTTTGCAGAGGAGCACGAATCCCTGCGTATGCACCCTCCCTGTTGGCGCCCGAGCGTGGAGCAGAAGCAGCAGCAGCAGTAGCAGCCTGCCCCCTCCTCCTCCTCCTCCCCCGTCCTCCTCCTCCTCCACCTCCTTCTCCTCCTCCTCCTCCTCCTCCGCCTCCGCCTCCGCCTCCTCCTCCTCCTCCTCCTCCTCCACCTCCTCCTCCCCCCTCCTCCTCCCCCCTCTCCTCCTCCTCCTCCTCCTCCTTCGGAGAAGCCCTTCTCCTTCTCGTTATGTTCCCTCGCTCGCCGCCGCTCCCCTCCTGCTACTGCTGCAGCAGCAGCAGGAGGGGAGCAGGAAGAGCGGAGAGGGGAAACACCGAACAGACCCGCGGCCCTCCGAAACCCTGATAGGGTACCGTCAAAACAAGCTGGACCCCCAAACCTGGCACGCGGAGCGCGCCAGGGGCGGCGCTGAAGGCGCCGCCGCGGGGGGCAACAACTCGAAGCCAAACTCGGGGATATACAACGGGTGCGCGTGTCCACCCTCGAAACGGATTGTGTCCGAATAGCCCCCTGGGTCTATATCCTCGAGTTCCCCCATGTTATGGGCGACGACCTTCTGACTACCTACCAGACCACCCCAACCCAACCAGAAGACCCGAATTTGATCCGAATTTCGGGTTGGGGGGGGTACGGGTTCCATATGTTTTTTCAATCTTCCCCGACCCCCCCCACATTGGAAATGGAGGGCAAATTGAGCCCTTCGGGTTGGGTTGGGGTGGTTTGGTGGGTGGTGACCTTCTGCGACAAGAAATACGTGGCACGATCCCGATTGGTTCAACTTGTCGGAAGGAAGCAAGCGGGTCCTGGGGTTGAAGGGTCCTGGACCGCAGAGCGTCCCCTTGTTTGCATCCCGAGCGTGTTTTCACGTTCCCAGGGCCAAGAATGGCTCAGGGAGGCCGAACATGGCCGCTAAAAATCTCAGGGCCCATTTGCTTCACTCCATCGATGGGCCATCGTACAGGACGCTACAGGTTGTCAAAACGACAGATGTGTTGGATGCCGCCGGTCGAAGAGCCCAGGTAACCACCAAAAGGCCCAAGGTTACGCCTCCCCCCGAGACCTCGGAGATTTAAGCGCCACGGGCCTAGGAAACTCCACAGCCAGAGGGAAACGAGAAGGGACTCATTACATGCAACCACCCGTGTGATCGGGGGCATCAGCCAAGGATCTGGGTCTAACTAATCAAATTTGATACCACCCAGTGCCACGGGACCGAGGTAACCACCCAGTACACATAGATAACCCCCAGTGGCTAGAAGCAACCGCACAAAGGTCTGGGAGTCACCACCAAACACTTAAAGACGCTTCAATGGGCCTCCGAAGACCCCCAAAAGCGCCCCTGTAGAGGCCCAAGGCAGCTCCAAGAGGGCCCCGAGGCGGCCCAAGAACGGGCTTCAAGGGTTGGCAGGCCCCGAAGTGGCTCTGAGACAGCCCCAGATGCCCGCAAGACAGTCCCACAGGGCCCCGACACAACCCCGAGGTGACCTGCAAAGGTCGAAGACAGTTCCACAGACGCCCCCAATCCTTCTTCGATGCTAACCCAGTGGCTTTCAATCACCTTGACCTTCTCGCCTTTCCAATGCCTGCAATTTTCAGAGCGCCCCAACATTGCCACGGCTGGCTCCAACAAGTGACTAGCACCAGGACGAATGCCAACCATTATGCAAGATGGGCTGGCGAAGGAGCGAAACAGCTGAATACCTTGACATTGAACAGCACGGTGCTTATGCCCGGCAAACAGAACCGAAAAGAAACGCACTGACAGAGGACTGCCAGAGCTTCTAACGAAGCGGTTAGAGCTGAACACCGAGACGGGCGGAGGACGGCTATCGTATAGAGGAGTACCGAATTCTAGTGAGGGGGAGGTGGAGAAGGGCGAGTGAAGAACGAGGCCGCAGAGGATGGGAGGACGCGCGGTAGGATAGGTAGAGGAGGAGCAAACGATAATAAACTAACGCAGCAGTGCCGCGAAGAGCATACATGAGTTGAAGGGGAATGGGGCTCAGGCAGGGAGCGCAACTCAGTAAGCGAAGGCTGCCCCGCCGCGAAGGTGATGGCCGTGAGCATGAAGAACAGGGTCCTCTCGGAGTTGCAGTAGCCGCCGATGGCGAGATCGTACATCAAGGCGTTCCAACCATGCTCCTGGGAGGGCAGCATCGAAGCCTCCAGATCTGCACCCCACATGCTGCTGGCGCTCGCTGTGCACAAGCGCACACACACACACACCCTCAAGAAGTTTCCCCACGACGTCAAACGCGCCTTACGAACACATGACGCAACTGTCGGCCCATGCTTCCTGCGGTCAGGGGGCGTGTGAGATGACGTGCTGTCCCCCTCCGTCTTCCCCCATCATGCATCCCATTGCAAGTCAAAAAGGGTAGAGCAATTGTTGAGCAGGGACTGGCCGTCCCGGCATTCCTATATGCCTACCACGGGATGTTCGAATTGCACAAACAATTTCTTAGAACGTGAGGCCGCCGTAAATCCGCGCAGACCTCCGAAAATCTACAGGTCAGATCGACTTGAAAGGCCGGATCGAATCGGAACGTTAAGGTTAGGTCGGGCATGTTCTCCTACAGGCGGATGTTGGGCGAACAACGAAAAAAACCCAACATAACCCAAACTAGTCACAACAAAAAAAGTCCCCATCTTATTTTTTGATTGTTTTTGAATATTCCTCTCGTCGAGGGAAAGGCCCGGCTTAAGTCCATAGGTCGGGTCGAATTGAGAGGTCGGATCGAATCGTAACGTTCGGGGGCAACGATAAGGCGGGGACCAGCTCACGGGGTGAGAAATATGCAGCTTGAGTCGGCGAAACGTCGAAAGGCGCCTGAAGTAGGTTCGAATCCAGGAAAGCAAAAATACCTGCTTTCAACGGCCGGCGTGTAAGTGTGTGGAGGTACGTTGGGCCCTCCTCCGAGGACGTCTTCGTCGGCCGAGGGTCCCTCGAGGAGCCCTCGGTCCACCGTGGCCATTGACGCCGTCAGGAGTAGGTGTAGGGGGGGAACCCGCGCAACCCCGATGATGGAAGCTGCGCGGGGTGTGAGGCCTCCCCATCGGTCGGAAGGAATACATGAAGTAGGAAGGCGTTGAAAGTAGATTGGGTGTCCGCCCGCCCCCTTAATGAGGACGGAAAAGCCACTCGACCATTGAAGTAGGAAGGCGCCTAAGAGTAGAGAGGAATCTGGGAATGCAGAAATACCTACTTTCAACGACCGATGGGTATTGGCGATGCTCACGGTGTGATGCCTACTGGCGGTCCTCACGCGGGGGCGGGTGGAAAGGCCGTCCTTCTGCATCTCGTCGATGCTGTTCACCCAGCCCTCGCAGTTCGCCATCAGCGGCACGTCCACGACGTAGACGAGCAGCAGGCCCGCGCAGCGCAGGTACTGGCGGCGACGGCCGGGTGGCAGGAGGAGGTGGCGGGCAAGATGCCCAGTGGGAGTGGATGAGTGTCCTTATGGGGCGTTGGTGCGAGCCCACGTTCACCGAGTCGCCGTGCTCTCATCTCAACGACCTGCCCACCTGTCCACCCACTGGCCATGCCACCAACACCGACATACCCACAAGGAGTAAAACGCAGATGCGTCAATATATATATATATATATACACATATACATATACATATACATATATGATACAGCAGCTTGTGAGGTCCTACTGTAGGCGGCGGGAATATTGGGGGTGGAGAAAGGGAAGCATGACAGGGAGGGGGGTATGAAAGAACGAGCTCTGGAGAACACGGCCCGGCTCCGCATGCTGACGCCTCCCCCATCACAGCCCCCTCTCGCTGCCTTCCACCTCCCCTGCCTCCCATCCCCGTTCAACCCGATCTTGCTCGCCTCCACGTCTCTGTCGCCCTCTATCCCTCCCCCATCCGACTTCTAGCCGACGTTCTGTCTTCAGGGTTTTCATTTTCAGGTGCCAGGTGCGCAAGGACTGATTATACGCATGGCGAAAGCGCGCGTCAGAGGGGGACAACATACTCCAGCTCTCTGATCTTGTTTCTTCGGCCTCGCATGCTGCTGAGGCGCTTCGTACTTGCAGGCTGCCCGTGAGTCTCAGTCGGATATGCTCGACTTTCCGCTTGCTTGAACTCCGATCGCCGCGCATGTTTTCTTCGGCGGCGAGCGACGGGGGCCGTGAGAAAGGGCAAGGCCTTATCAGAGACGGTGGGGCTCCTGAGAGGTCCGCGGTCCTCCTGAGAAGTATTCCTGCGTCTTCGGGAAAAGCTTTACACACTTCGCGGAACGACGGGGGACTCCCGACACTCACTTCCCCCCTCGCTCGCCGCCGATCTCTGCGTTGCAGAAATCCGCCGACCCTGTCGGCGTGTGCGAGGGGATTCTCCGTTCGAGTCGTCGACTTCAGCATGCGTTTGTCGTCGTCTCTGGCGTCCCCTCTTCCTGCGTCCAAACCTTTCCCTGGGTCCGTCGTCGCTCCTCCCCCTTCTTCCCTGGCTGGGCTCTTTTCCCCAAACGTGCCCCCTTGCGCAGTCAAGCGCGCAAGCCTAAGCGAAATTCAAGAACGTCGCATTTCAGTCGAGGGGAAACCCTTTCCCTTTGATCCCCTTCCCGCCGGGAGGGGTGGGCGTCACGGGGGGGTCCCGGGGGGGGCCCGACACAGACGCGATTCCCGAGAGGCCCCGAAGACGGTCCAAAAGGGTCCCGAATCGCCTGCGCGGCCTCCAGACGGTCCACAAGACTTACAAGGCACCACAAAATGACGAGGAACACTCCCAAAAGGGCCCCACGATGAATCATCATCGGTTTCCCGTCGGTTTTTGAAGCGTTTCGGCGTCGCCGCCTCTTCCGCTTTCCGACGCTCCAGGATGGCCCAAGAGGCCCCCCAGATCGCCCCGAGGCGGCCCCAGAGGCCTCCAGGAGGTACCAAAAACGGCGCCAGAGAACTCCGAGACGACCCAAAACGCAACCAAGATGGCCTAAGAGGTCCCCGAGAATGCCCGAACGAGGGACCGGAACGGACATTCCGAGCCCCCTCGGCCCCCCGAGGCGCTCCCAAGGAGGAGCCGCGGGGCGTGCAAAGAGGCCCGCGAGAGACACCAAGAGGCCCCCAAGAGAGCCCCTGGACGCCCCGACGCGAACCCTAAGAGACCAAGAGGATCTCGAACTGCCCCCGAGAGATCCCAATAGCGCTCCGAAAAAAAAACCCAAAACATCCCTGAAAAACCTCATCCGCGTCCGCGTCCTCGTCGTCGGCAACCCAGCCGTGTATACACAACAACGTGGCTGCCGCGCAGCCACATGCCTCGGTGGCGACCCCCCCCCGCATGCTGGTAGATGGCGAATCCATGCCGTTGTCTCCGCCATCCAGGTCCTCTTTCCTCCGCCTCCTGATTACCTTCCCTCCCTCCACCATCCTCGTTGCCATTTCCTCCTGCTCCGTCCTTTTCCTCCGTCCTCCTTCGCCTCCTCCTCCTCTCCTCCTCCTTCTCCCCCTCTTCCTCCAAATCCTTCTACGTCTCCACCTCTTCCTGATCCTCCTCCTCATCCTTTTTCTCCCTGTTGTTCCTGCTGCTCCTCTTCCTCCTCTTCCTTTTTATGCCTCCTCCTCCTCCTCCTTGTCCTCCTCCTCCTTCTCCTCCTTCTCCACCTGCCACCTCACTCCC